TTGGTCATCCCCGTTGAAAATGTTTTGCCTCATTAATTACATTTTGGGATCCTTCCTATGGCACACTCAGGTCCCTAGGGTAAAATTGGAACAGCTTCTAAGGCCTAAGAATGTAGAGGGTTTAGCGTTACCCAATCTGTGGATTTAATACCTGGTGGCCCAGTTACAACACATTGCGAGAGCTATGCCTCCAGTGGCAGAAGAGGAAGGTAATAGGGCAGACCTCACTAGTATCCTATTATGTCATGTGATCAGCATGGACGATGTAGCAGCAGGCTTAGAGTCACTATCATTTTGTAAGTGCACTAAACTTTTCCTTACCTATGTCCTTATGCAAAAGACTTGGAATAGGGTGACGCAAATGCAAGGTGTCTCAGACTGTACTAGATTTAGTCATATCTGGGGTAATGAAAACTATTTGGAAATCCTGAAATATGGGTCGAACTTGGCGAAGTGGAATTCGTTTGGAAGATTAGGAAAAATTCGCGCCGAATCCGAAAATTAGCAGACTTCGGATGCGCGAATCGAAATTTTCCAAAAATGGCGGCGACATGTGTGGCGACGGAGCGGGGATCTCTGGGAAGGCGCGCAGACAAGGCGCGCTGACCCATAATGCATTCATTCATGACATGTGATCGCATTAGCCAATCAGCAGCCAGCCAGCCAGCACTGTGTAATGGTCGAGCTATAAATTGCGGCCATCTTAGAATTCTCCATTAGCCTCCGGTCATTCAAGAGAGACAGACCTCTCTGTATTAGGGACAGAGTTAGGGCAAAGAGACTTTAGGGCCACAGAATCGTTACTTAGGGACACAGAATTGTTACTCAGGGACACAGAATTGTTACTCAGGGACACAGAATTGTTACTCAGGACACAGAACTGTTACTCAGGGACACAGAATTGTTACTCAGGGACAGACACAGAATTGTTACTGAGGGACACAGAATTGTTACTGAGGGACACAGAATTGTTACTACTTACTCAGGGACACAGAATTGTTACTCAGGGACACAGAACTGTTACTCAGGGACACAGAATTGTTACTCAGGGACACAGAATTGTTACTCAGGGACACACACAGAATTGTTACTGAGGGACACAGAATTGTTACTGAGGGACACAGAATTGTTACTCAGGGACACACAGAATTGTTACTGAGGGACACAGAATTGTTACTGAGGGACACAGAATTGTTACTCAGGGACACAGAATTGTTACTCAGGGACACAGAATTGTTACTCAGGGACACAGAATTGTTACTCAGGGACACAGAATTGTTACTCAGGGACACAGAATTGTTACTCAGGGACACAGAATTGTTACTGAGGGACACAGAATTGTTACTCAGGGACACAGAATTGTTACTGAGGGACACAGAATTGTTACTGAGGGACACAGAATTGTTTGTTACAGGGACACAGAATTGTTACTCAGGGACACAGAATTGTTACTCAGGGACACAGAATTGAACTGGGACACAGAATTGTTACTCAGGGACACAGAATTGTTACTCAGGGACACACACAGAATTGTTACTCAGGGACACAGAATTGTTACTCAGGGACACAGAATTGTTACTCAGGGACACAGAATTGTTACTGAGGGACACAGAATTGTTACTCAGGAGGGACACAGAATTGTTACTCAGGGACACAGAATTGTTACTCAGGGACACAGAATTGTTACTCAGGGACACAGAATTGTTACTCAGGGACACAGAATTGTTACTCAGGGACACACAGAATTGTTACTCAGGGACACAGAATTGTTACTCAGGGACACAGAATTGTTACTCAGGGACACAGAATTGTTACTCAGGGACACAGAATTGTTACTCAGGGACACAGAATTGTTACTCAGGGACACAGAATTGTTACTCAGGGACACAGAATTGTTACTCAGGGACACAGAATTGTTACTCAGGGACACAGAATTGTTACTCAGGGACACAGAATTGTTACTCAGGGACAGACACAGAATTGTTACTGAGGGACACAGAATTGTTACTGAGGGACACAGAATTGTTACTCAGGGGACACAGAATTGTTACTCAGGGGACACAGAATTGTTACTGAGGGGACACAGAATTGTTACTGAGGGACACAGAATTGTTACTCAGGGACAGACACAGAATTGTTACTCAGGGACACAGAATTGTTACTCAGGGACACAGAATTGTTAATTAAAGAGTACACAGAATTGTTACTCAGGGCAGAGGAGGCAATGTTTACTCAGGAGCGAGCAGACGTGGCAGCAGAGGAAGGGGTCGAGGCAGCACTACTGTCAGGGCCACAGAAGTGCTTACATCCAGCGGTCGTGTCTCCACCGACAACCCTGCCGTCATCGATTGTTACTCAGCTCGGACACAGAATTCCTCTTCCCAGGTCACCTCTGACACCTACAGCCAACGGTCGGTGGGTACGTCAGACACAACCGTTAGTTGGCATGGCCCGGGAGCAAGCCCACTGAAATCACGTGTCCTCTACCTGCCCCTGTCCTTTGGTGTTCCCTCACCAAGCGAAGTATCGCATGCTGTGGGCTCAGGGACACACTGTACAGTGAGGAGAGCTAACAGAGGGCGGTCAGGAACGGGGGGAGACATCCGCCTCTTCACAGCCAGGCGACAGAAGTTACTGGCGAGGAGAGTGGCTCGGTAGCCGGTCTAGAGACAGGTCTGTCTCCTGACCCACACGCAGCCGAGGGGGCTAGTAGTGAGGCGGAGACCCTAATTGATGATGATGAGGCTGATCGCACTTGGCAGCCTCGTCGTCATCAGGCTATTGCTTCTCATCATCAGGAGAAGAGGGTGGCAGCTTGGCAGCGAGCAAAACAGTCGGTGGGTTGCCCAGGAGGCAGCAGGGTCGCAGCAGTGTCAGTGGAGGCAAACGGCCACGGAGTAGAGCACCAGCTCCACTGCAGCCTACCACCACAACTGCCAGAATGTAGTGTGCCGGTGTGCACGGAGGAAGTAGCAGTCAGCCAGTGAGGAGTAGCGGGGGCAAAGTTTCCTACTCGGCGGTGTGGCAATTTTTCGTCAAGCCGCCCGAGGAAGTAAACGTAGCCGTATGTCGACTATGTGGCCAGAAAGTCAAGCGTGGCCAGGGGGCCCATGTCTCCATCGCCACACTCTGCCATGTGCCACTTTTCAGGTCTCCTCACACTGCTGGTGGGTTCCATTTTGTCATAGGGTGCTGGCAGATTACGGGCCTCCCATTGCTGCTGCCAGGCCCGTAATCTGTCATGGGCCCCTGTACCGCCTCCTCATGCTGCTGCCAGGCCCGTAATCTGTCATGGGTCCCTGTACGGCCTCCCATTGCTGCTGTCTCCATCGCCACACTCTGCCATGTGCCACTTTCAGGTCTCCTCACACTGCTGGTGGGTTCCATTTTGTCATAGGGTGCTGGCAGATTACGGGCCTCCCATTGCTGCTGCCAGGCCCGTAATCTGCCATGGGCCCCCTGTACCGCCTCCTCATGCTGCTGCTGCCAGGTCCAGAGTCTGTCATGGGTCCCTGTACGGCCTCCCATTGCTGCTGTCTCCATCGCCACACTCTGCCATGTGCCACTTTCAGGTCTCCTCACACTGCTGGTGGGTTCCATTTTGTCATAGGGTGCTGGCAGATTACGGGCCTCCCATTGCTGCTGCCAGGCCCCCGTAATCTGCCATGGGCCCCTGTACCGCCTCCTCATGCTGCTGCTGCCAGGTCCCGTAATCTGTCATGGGTCCCTGTACGGCCTCCCATTGCTGCTGTCTCCATCGCCACACACTGCCATGTGCCACTTTCAGGTCTCCTCACACTGCTGGTGGGTTCCATTTTGTCATAGGGTGCTGGCAGATTACGGGCCTCCCATTGCTGCTGCCCAGGCCCGTAATCTGCCATGGGCCCCTGTACCGCCTCCTCATGCTGCTGCCTGCTGGCCAGGTCGAGTGTCTGTCATGGGTCCCTGTACGGCCTCCCATTGCTGCTGTCTCCATCGCCACACTCTGCCATGTGCCACTTTCAGGTCTCCTCACACTGCTGGTGGGTTCCATTTTGTCATAGGGTGCTGGCAGATTACGGGCCTCCCATTGCTGCTGCCAGGCCCGTAATCTGCCATGGGCCCCTGTACCCGCCTCCTCATGCTGCTGCCAGGTCCAGAGTGTCTCATGGGTCCCTGTACGGCCTCCCATTGCTGCTGTCTCCATCGCCACACTCTGCCATGTGCCACTTTCAGGTCTCCTCACACTGCTGGTGGGTTCCATTTTGTCATAGGGTGCTGGCAGATTACGGGCCTCCCATTGCTGCTGCCAGGCCCGTAATCTGCCATGGGCCCCTGTACCGCCTCCTCATGCTGCTGCCAGGCCCGTAATCTGTCATGGGTCCCTGTACGGCCTCCCATTGCTGCTGCTGTCTCCATCGCCACACTCCATGCCACACTCTGCCATGTGCCACTTTCAGGTCTCCTCACACTGCTGGTGGGTTCCATTTTGTCATAGGGTGCTGGCAGATTACGGGCCTCCCATTGCTGCTGCTGCCAGGCCCGTAATCTGCCATGGGCCCCTGTACCGCCTCCTCATGCTGCTGCCAGGTCCAGAGTGTGTCATGGGTCCCTGTACGGCCTCCCATTGCTGCTGTCTCCATCGCCACACACTCTGCCATGTGCCACTTTCAGGTCTCCTCACACTGCTGGTGGGGTTTCCATTTTGTCATAGGGTGCTGGCAGATTACGGGCCTCCCATTGCTGCTGCCCGTAGGCCCCCGTAATCTGCCATGGGCCCCCTGTACCGCCTCCTCCTCATGCTGCTGCCAGGCCCCAGATCTGTCATGGGTCCCTGTACGGCCTCCCATTGCCTCCCATTGCTGCTGTCCCATCGCCACACTCTCTGCCATGTGCCACTTTCAGTCTCCTCACACTGCTGGTGGGTTCCATTTTTTGTCATAGGGTGCTGGCAGATTACGGGCCTCCCATTGCTGCTGCCAGGCCCGTAATCTGCCATCATGGGCCCCTGTACCGCCTCCTCATGCTGCTGCCAGGTCCAGAGTGTGTCATGGGTCCCTGTACGGCCTCCCATTGCTGCTGTCTCCATCGCCACACTCTGCTGCATGTGCCACTTTCAGGTCTCCTCCTCACACTGCTGGTGGGTTCCATTTTGTCATAGGGCTGCTGGCAGATTACGGGCCTCCCATTGCTGCTGCCAGGCCCGTAATCTGCCATGGGCCCCTGTACCGCCTCCTCATGCTGCTGCCAGGTCCCGTAAGTCTGTCATGGGTCCCTGTACGGCCTCCCATTGCTGCTGTCTCCATCGCCACACTCTGCCATGTGCCACTTTCAGGTCTCCTCACACTGCTGGTGGTGGTTCCATTTTGTCATAGGGTGCTGGCAGATTACGGGCCTCCCCATTGCTGCTGCCAGGCCCGTAATCTGCCATGGGCCCCCTGTACCGCCCTCCTCATGCTGCTGCCAGGCCCAGTAATCTGTCATGGGTCCCTGTACGGCCTCCCATTGCTGCTGTCTCCATCGCCACACTCTCTGCCATGTGCCACTTTCAGGTCTCCTCACACTGCTGGTGGGTTCCATTTTGTCATAGGGTGCTGGCAGATTACGGGCCTCCCATTGCTGCTGCCAGGCCCGTAATCTGCCATGGGCCCCTGTACCGCCTCCTCATGCTGCTGCCAGGCTGTCCAGAGTGTGTCATGGGTCCCTGTACGGCCTCCCATTGCTGCTGTCTCCATCGCCACACTCTGCCATGTGCCACTTTCAGGTCTCCTCACACTGCTGGTGGGTTCCATTTTGTCATAGGGTGCTGGCAGATTACGGGCCTCCCATTGCTGCTGCCAGGCCCGTAATCTGCCATGGGCCCCTGTACCGCCTCCTCATGCTGCTGCTGCCAGGCCAAGTCTGTCATGGGTCCCTGTACGGCCTCCCATTGCTGCTGTCTCCATCGCCACACTCTGCCATGTGCCACTTTCAGGTCTCCTCACACTGCTGGTGGGTTCCATTTTGTCATAGGGTGCTGGCAGATTACGGGCCTCCCATTGCTGCTGCCAGGCCCGTAATCTGTCATGGGCCCCTGTACCGCCTCCTCATGCTGCTGCCAGGCCAGAGTAATCTGTCATGGGTCCCCTGTACGGCCTCCCATTGCTGCTGTCTCCATCGCCACACTCTGCCATGTGCCACTTTCAGGTCTCCTCACACTGCTGGTGGTTCCCATTTTGTCATAGGGTGCTGGCAGATTACGGCCTCCCCCCCATGCTGCTGCCAGGCCCCGTATCTGCCATGGGCCCCTGTACCGCCTCCTCATGCTGCTGCCAGGTCCAGAGTCTGTCATGGGTCCCTGTACGGCCTCCCATTGCTGCTGTCTCCATCGCCACACTCTGCCATGTGCCACTTTCAGGTCTCCTCACACTGCTGGTGGGTTCCATTTTTGTCATAGGGTGCTGGCAGATTACGGGCCTCCCATTGCTGCTGCTGCCCAGGCCCGTAATCTGTCATGGGCCCCTGTACCGCCTCCTCATGCTGCTGCCCAGGCCCGTAATCTGTCATGGGTCCCTGTACGGCCTCCCATTGCTGCTGTCTCCATCGCCACACTCTGCCATGTGCCACTTTCAGGTCTCCTCACACTGCTGGTGGGTTCCATTTTGTCATAGGGTGCTGGCAGATTACGGGCCTCCCATTGCTGCTGCCAGGCCCGTAATCTGCCATGGGCCCCCGTACCGCCTCCTCATGCTGCTGCCAGGCCCGTAATCTGTCATGGGCCCCCGTGTACCTCATCCTCATGCTGCTGCCAGGTCCAGAGTGTCTCATGGGTCCCTGTACGGCCTCCCATTGCTGCTGTCTCCATCGCCACACTCTGCCATGTGCCACTTTCAGGTCTCCTCACACTGCTGGTGGGTTCCATTTTGTCATAGGGTGCAGGCATTATTACGGGCCTCCCATTGCTGCTGCCAGGCCCGTAATCTGCCATGGGCCCCCGTACCGCCTCCTCCTCATGCTGCTGCCAGGTCCAGAGTGTCTCATGGGTCCCTGTACGGCCTCCCATTGCTGCTGTCTCCATCGCCACACTCTGCCATGTGCCCACTTTCAGGTCTCCTCACACTGCTGGTGGGTTCCATTTTGTCATAGGGTGCTGGCAGATTACGGGCCTCCCATTGCTGCTGCCAGGCCCGTAATCTGCCATGGGCCCCCGTACCGCCTCCTCATGCTGCTGCCAGGCCCGTAATCTGTCATGGGCCCTGTACGGCCTCCTGCATGCTGCTGCCTCCAGGTCCAGAGTGTGTCATGGGTCCCTGTACGGCCTCCCATTGCTGCTGTCCATTTTGTCATCGCCACACTCTGCCACACTCTGCCATGTGCCACTTTCAGGTCTCCTCACACTGCTGGTGGGTTCCATTTTGTCATAGGGTGCTGGCAGATACGGGCCTCCCATTGCTGCTGCCAGGCCCGTAATCTGCCATGGGCCCCCGTACCTGCTGCTGCCTGCCTCATAGAGTCCATGCTGTCATGGGTGCTGGCAGATTACGGGCCTCCCATTGCTGCTGCCAGGCCCGTAATCTGTCATGGGCCCCTGTACCGCCTCCTCCTCATGCTGCTGCCAGGTCCAGAGTGTCTCATGGGTCCCTGTACGGCCTCCCATTGCTGCTGTCTCCATCGCCACACTCTGCCATGTGCCACTTTCAGGTCTCCTCACACACTGCTGGTGGGTTCCATTTTGTCATAGGGTGCTGGCAGATTACGGGCCTCCCATTGCTGCTGCCAGGCCCGTAATCTGCCATGGGCCCCCCCGTACCGACTCCTCATGCTGCTGCCAGGCCCGAAATCTGTCATGGGCCCCTGTACCCGCCTCCTCATGCTGCTGCCAGGTCCAGAGTGTCTCATGGGTCCCTGTACGGCCTCCCATTGCTGCTGTCTCCATCGCCACACTCTGCCATGTGCCACTTTCAGGTCTCCTCACACTGCTGGTGGGTTCCATTTTGTCATAGGGTGCTGGCAGATTACGGGCCTCCCATTGCTGCTGCCAGGCCCGTAATCTGCCATGGGCCCCCGTACCGCCTCCTCATGCTGCTGCCAGGTCCAGAGTGTCTCATGGGTCCCTGTACGGCCTCCCATTGCTGCTGTCTCCATCGCCACACTCTGCCATGTGCCACTTTCAGGTCTCCTCACACTGCTGGTGGGTTCCATTTTGTTGTCATAGGGTGCTGGCAGATTACGGGCCTCCCATTGCTGCTGCCAGGCCCGTAATCTGCCATGGGCCCCCGTACCGACTCCTCATGCTGCTGCCAGGCCCGTAATCTGTCATGGCCCCTGTACCACCTCCTCATGCTGCTGCCAGGTCCAGAGTGTCTCATGGGTCCCTGTACGGCCTCCCATTGCTGCTGTCTCCATCACCACACACTCTGCCATGTGCCACTTTCAGGTCTCCTCACACTGCTGGTGTGGGTTCCATTTTGTCATAGGGTGCTGGCAGATTACGGGCCTCCCATTGCTGCTGCCAGGCCCGTAATCTGCCATGGGCCCCCGTACCGCCTCCTCATGCTGCTGCCAGGTCCAGAGTGTCTCATGGGTCCCTGTACGGCCTCCCATTGCTGCTGTCTCCATCGCCACACTCTGCCATGTGCCACTTTCAGGTCTCCTCACACTGCTGGTGGGTTCCATTTTGTCATAGGGGCTGTATGGCCTCCCATTGTCGACGGCACTCATCTGCATGTCATACTGACTGACAGTATTATTTCTCTTCCCCAGCAGACTCCAAGGTCATTTAAATTAAAGGTACAGTGTTCTGCACTAATATAAAGGCTCTCTGAAGCCTAGAAACACCCTTTTTATAAGTTAAATTCGCAGCGAATATATTCGCCTCGAATCGAATTTATTCCTCGAATTCGCCGAATCAGCCGAATCGAATTTTTGAATACTTCGCTCATCTCTAATTATGGTATTACTTATTTTAATCACATTTTTGCCAATGGTACATTATGCTCTTTCTCAGATTTGCAAACAAAATTCCACCTTCCATGACCCATGTACTTTCATTATTTCCAAATGCAACATGATTTCAGGGGACAATAAGGGTTTTGACCTTTGGATTCAGTCTCTTACCCCGATATCTAATTATTTGTCTGATACAGTATCCTATAAGGGTATCATATTTAGATGCTATTCCATGATGTTAACTATCTTTTTGAAAGATTATCCCTCTATAGCAGCATCTAGGTGGGAAAAGAATTGTTTAAAATGGGGGTACAAGGTGATCCAATCTGTACAAGGTGCTTAGAGAACGTTGTGATCTGATACAGCTTTTATGGTGGTGTCAAAAATTACATCTTTATTGGCTAGGAGTCATTAAACCCTTAACAAGGTCTTTCAAGTTACCTTCTGCGAGGATCCCAAACAATGCCTTTTTATGTATTTTGAATGACCTTCAGGTTGAGGGTTTCCCTAAACGAGCCATAGCTAGAGCACTTTTCCATCGCTGCAAACTGATTCTTATGCACTGGAAATCAGCTGATCCCCATTCCCTGAAAGAATGGATAACCCAGATGGGTGATACCCTACAGCTTGAACAGTACATATATCAACATAGAGAGTGCTCCAGCAAAGTTTGACAAATTTTGAGCCCCATGGCCGGACACCCCGATGTAGCAATCGTGCAAACAGTGATGGATGCGAACCTCCATTTTGGCAAAGGCCTCCATCTTGTATCATTTTCTACTCCCAAATCAGTCTCCCTCCTCTGATTTCCCCCACCCCCCTCCCTCAGCAATGTGGTCAGTGTGTGTATGCTGAGTTCAAAAGGCAACAGGCCCCAGTGGGAGAGCTCCATGGCTATAAATCCCAACCTAGCTGGTGCCCAGATGTCTGTTAGCTTCTCAATCTGGAATATCGTAAAGCCATAAAACCAGTCCTTCACTAAACTTCAAATACATTTCAGGTAGTCGTAAAATGGACTCACATTTAAAAATCCCCCTTTCCATATAATTTTATATATGGAGATATGGAAGACTTACATAAAAACCAGGCATATATTCAGACCGGTCACTTTAATACAAGTCATCTGATATATTACACCCCCGAGCTGGAATCTACAGGAGAGCAGTAAACGACATCTCCTTAACCGTCCCAGCAGGTATGTCATATTTCATATCTAGACGTTCGGCAGGTGATTCTGCATATTAATATACTCATGGATAGAATGTTACAGGTATCCAGGGAAAATTATTGCCCTGGTATCAACTTGGGAGGGATTTTGGTTATAGCTTGGGTCTCCGCCCAACACCCTCCCCAAATGAAGCGATTGGTTCTCTGCTTTAAGGAGAGACCCTGCTGAATTCCTAGAAAAGCTGTTATGCTTGGAGCTAAGCTAAGCTAAGCTGAGTTGAGCTAAGTTGAAGAATTCTCCCTTTTAACATCGGAACCAACTTTGGGAGATAAAGGCCCTTTTGCTCAGGAAACTTGATCTGCTAAACCAAGGCTGACGGCAAGTACTTTATCTCTCTAAACTTTTTTCTGTTATCTCTTTGCTGTCCTATTGTTCTCTGTATATTTATATATATATATATTGGCTACATCTTTTTCTGTAAATATTCTTATTGCAGCCTTTTTACCTTTTAGTGATAAATCTTACTTTCTGAGAGTGTTGAACTGTTTCTAAAGCTCTTTAATGCAAACTAAGAACCCCTGTCTCTGAAGAGCGCTACTGTGTTTGTTTAAACCTCTGTGTACCCTGCCTGCGGTGACAGTCGTATACACATTATTATTCAAATATCATAGTGGTATTGCTAATATTTCTCTGTATAAAAAGGAGGTGGTGGCAGTGTGAAGGGTTAATTGCGTAATAAACCTGACCCAGTAACAATCGCTCTCAGGCTGCAGGTACATCGATTGTGATCCATTAGCTGGAAAATCTTTGTGCAGGGTGCAGCTGGGCATGGCATTGTTACGCACGTGACAGCGCAGTTTTAGATTGGCTAGTCCTTCTGTCACGAGTTTGGTGAGAAGGGCTGGGGTCTGACGCCGCGATCGTCACACCCGGGACTATCCTCAGTGGATATAATTATGGATAGGCTATTGTAACAAACACCCAGTTGTTTCCTAATGAGTTAGCCTTTGTGGTTAAACATATTTTATTTAAAATTGTAAGTATTTTGAAGCAAGGACAGGAAACAACAGTTGAAAATGGTAATCAAAACATGTCATAGGTGATACCCCCAACTAAAAGCGACATACCATTCTGTGAAAAAACATACGCAACATGTTTTAAGTAGAATAGGTTGCCAACTACACAGTGCACATGACAATACTAAAATCAGTAGTAAGCCAACAGTGGCAATAAGGTATAACATGGAAAGGATAAGGGAGAAGAAAAGAATGAGGGGAAAAAGAAATAAAAAAAGAAAAAAAAGAGGAGTTAGAAGGGAGGAGAGAAAGATAACTAAACAATCTGAGAAATGCTTGAAAAATCACTTGAAGTAAAACGGAATAAAGCCAATCAGTGGGAGATTAGGGTTCAAAAAGCATCTGACTCACTGTAGGCGCTTCAACACATCCAGGAGGTGAAGACTTTTTCAGGATTGGGCTGTCTT